AAACACCATCCCAGTGATGCTAAACATCATCCCAGTGATGCTAAACGCCATCCCAGTGATGCTAAACACCATCCCAGTGATGCAAAACACCATCCCAGTGATGCAAAACATCATCCCAGTGATGCAAAACATCATCCCAGTGACACCAAACATGCTGGTGATGGAGAGGAGCGAAGGATGGACCATCACCTTGCTGCTCGGGAGCGCTGCTGATGGTGAAGGGATGCCACTCATAGGTGGCGATGGCCGGGATGTTCAGGTAGATGTAGTCTCCAGGCTTGTAGTGGAAAAATTGTGGTCTCTCAATCACGAGGTGAGTCACCTGGAGGAGAAGGAGACCAGAAAAGCTGGGAGCATCCAGCAGACACATCACACTGGTTGGTCTCTACACAAACCCACCCAGGTTTGTGCCTCCCATTCAAAGAGCAGCCAGTACGAGATGGGCTTCCAGATTTGACCTAAGAAAGGGTCAAATGTTCTCCTGTTCCCTGCCCAGCTTGGCTATCAAACAGGAATCCCAGGTAGGGCTGGCCTGGAGCAATGACTTTTTTGAAGACACTAAGAGTTAGAGCAGCTTTCATTTTATCTCCAGCTGTTTTAGGAGGTGAGAGATTTATTTTTCACTCGAAAACTCGGAACTAGATGATCTATAAAGTCCTTTTTAACTCAAACTGTTCCATGATTCAAGGAAAAATAGGTAAAAATTCCAAACGATGGCTTGAAAACACAGAATTGCTTCCACCTTTTGCTGCAAATATCGACCAAAGCAGCCCAAAGCGACCCAAACCCACCGCTTTTCCATATAAGCCATTGATTGCACCCCGTCCCACCCAGGTATGGTCAGGGGAGTGTCCCCCTTCCACTCCCAGAAGAGGAAGAGGTCAGGGGAGGGGAGGTGGGATGGGGTGCAGAGACCCCCGTGGGTGCAGTAGACCTTGGAGGGGAGCAGGTTGACCTCCACGATGCGCAGCCCACCAGCACGTCGCCCAACCAAGCCAACCACCTTCTCCAGCACAAAGAGGCAGCCGGGAACTGCAAACCATTTCCAGAAGTGGGGACCGTGGAGGATGAGGAGGGACCAGATGGAGATGTAGGAAAGGTGGGTCCAGTAGAAAACCTGCGAGCAGGGAGTGTGGGGGGCTGAGTATGAACCAAAATTGGTGAAGTCAGACGGTGGTGAGGTTGTGCTGGGGTATCCCAGAGGACAAAGGCAGCCCAGAGGATGAGGAAAAGCACAGAAACCCCCAAAACAGCAATTCTGAGGAGTGTGGGGTGGCCAAGGGAGATGTCAGGTGGCACCACATCAACTCATGAGCCCTCCCCCACCCATGGGACAGCACCCAGGTGGGCACCCACCCACCAGAGCCTCACCTTTGGGTACCATTGGGTTTGCCAGGTGACAGAGGGATGTGACAGGACCCACCTCGAAGCGGCCGCCCCG